TGACTCAGCCCACAGAGCTGCATGGTCATTTCAGAAATGAGAGCAATAAATTTCACAGCTGTTCCTTTGGAATTTTTTTGTGTGTGTCCTGTTCTACCCCAAGCCCAGTCCTCTGGATAATTTATATCTGCTGTTGAGCCCAAGGAAGTAACCATTCATTGTCTGGTTCTACCCAAAATCATTTTATCTCTCTTTAAATCATCCTCATTACTTCTTTTCAGACCCTGAGATAGTTTGTTATATGTATACTTAGAATCCTGTATCCAGTTTTCTTGGGAAACTGCGTCTGTGTTCATTTGTGTTCCCATCACATGCATCTGTGATTCTTCTTAAGCCATGATCAACAGTTTCATGTGGGTTTTGGTTTAATAATGACGAGACATATAGTGCTTTTAAGTTTACAAAACCCTTTTCATAAATATCTCATCAGTCCTTCTGGCAGCCCCTGGATGTGGCAGGAGGAGAAGGGAGGAAGGAAGAATGTAGAAGGGGTACTACAGGTGTGGTATTGTGACCACCACCATTTACAGGGTTTAAGGGAGATGTAGTGACTGTCATGGTCACACAGCTAGTTAGTGTTGAAGGTGTGATTTGAACCTAGTAGTTGAGTACTCCTTCTGTCATACAGACCTGTTCTCCCTATTTCCCATGTATTATGAACAGTGGCATTCTTTGGTACTTGAAAATGTTTGTGTGTCTGTCTCAATCCTTTGTCTCATTTCTTAACTGGTCTTAATCACTGAATGGGTGTTGCCTTAGACGCACTTAGACCTGGGAAAGACCTTAGCTTAAAAAGGCCAAGATTTCCCAGTGCATCCAGGGCCATCTCCATTAGTCCTGATCTGTGTCTTGTCACTAGACCCAGATGGCTCTGGAAGAGACAGTGGGGCTGGTGACTTTGCATAGCCCTGCCTCACTTAAATCCAATTCACTTGCAAGTCAAGACATCACCCTCTTGATATCATTGGTCCTCTTTGAGTAGGACAGACAACAATAATCTTGGAAATAGTTGAGGTAAAAATTAATATAATAGTAATATAAAACATAAAAAACCAGTAATTTAAAAGTAACAAATTCACCTTGAAATTGTGTGGTGCCTTTACTTTTTATAAGCATTTTCATTCCCTTAGCTCATTTTATTCTCACAGCTGCCCTCCAAAGTTGATAGGATAGACATTGTTTTCCCATCTTATGACTGAAGAAACAGAGCCATGTGTCTGTCCCTAGCTCATATGTAAAGTAAATTGTATTCAAAGTATGATGAGATATAAAACAGAAATTTTGTGTGATGAATTGTTGGTTGGTTTATCAAACCAGAAGACAAAGAAAAACTAGAAAGATAATTCAGGTCCTGATATTCTGTTTTTAAAGAAAACAATTTTATTTGGGGGGGGAGACACCAAAATATGAAATAATTCAGTTTAATCTTGAGGGGCAGCTAGGTGGTGAAGTGAATAGAGCACTGGCCCTGGAGTTGGGAGGACTTGAGTTCAAATGCGGCCTCAGACTAAACACTTGACACTTACTAGCTGTGTGACCGTGGGCAAGTCACTTAACCCCAATTGCCTAAAAACTAAAGGAAAAAAAAGAATAATTCAGTTTAATCTTAATCCAAATGATTAAATTCAAGAAACCTTTATCATCACGTATAATAGTAACATGTGCATTGATAAAATGACAATATGGCCCAGGGATTGATGGTTATGTTTGTTGGTCCAGCAGTGTTCTGGTCTCTTTTCAGGCATAGACAGTCTCTGGACTAAAGGAGGAGGAAAGCAACCAAGCATAATTCTCAGCTTATTGAATAAACTGAAACTTTGTGCCCCTTGGGATGTGTGTACATTGGTTTCAGCACCACTTACCCTGCTAGCATAGTTAATGACACACAAAAAAGGTATTGATCTACATTCCCCCAAGTCAGTGGGAAAGTGAAGCCTCCTTCTCCTAGAGAGGAGGATCGGATTTTTAAGCTGAAAAGGAGAAAACCAAGGCCCAGAAAAGTTTAGTTTGCCCAAGATCGAAAGGATTCAAAGGATGACACGTGGCAGAACCAGAATCTGAACCTAGATCTGCTGATTCTGTTCTCTTTTTTCTTCCCATCGTGCCATGAAGTCCCTGAAACCTCAAAGGGAGAAAACAATAGCCTGAACTGTGGCCCTCAGATAGCACATGCCCTGCAAGAGGGAGGGAGAGGAAGAAGAGATTTTTCTTCTCCTTTTTTGCTTGTCTCTTCCCAGGAGCAGATCAACCCATATTCCAGATCCTCTTTTTTTTTTCTTCTTCCAGTAAAGTCCTACTCCAATGCCTTCTCATGGCATGTGGTGTCCTTGGATTATTAACAGGTGTGCCAGCTGATCACAAGGTCTGGTGGGTCCTACCAACTTGTAAAGGCTTTCAGGATGGACCTGGTAATGGACTCTCTCTGTCTTTCATATGATGCCCCAACCTAGCTGAGTTTGGAGAAACCCATTACCAGAAGGCTGATGACCATGTGGTTTTACTTCCAGTTCTAACAACTAATGATGATCACCTACTAAGGCACAGAGGGAGTGCCCTCACTGATGAAATCACCAGTCCTTCTAGTATAGTCTAATATAAGCATATTTTATTTCAGTTTCCCTGTCACTAGAGTTTCTCACCTAGCTGCAAAATCTTAGAAGACGAAGGATACCCTGAAATTGCCCTGTATGTGTACATAATTTGTGTCTACTTTGAGGTGTGTTTGTTGTTTCCGCCTCTTACATGAAGTACTTCTGCTGGTCTAGCACCCCAAATGGCATTGGTTTCATCTTTATAAATTTGAATTAATTGTACTGCAAACACAGATCCAGTGTGTAACTTGCCGTCTGTCTTCCCTAGATCCTCACATTCATACTTCCAGGTTTCTTTTGCTGACCAAAACCTAAATATATTTCCTTCCCCTTTCCCTACTTAGTGATGTATTTTCTTATGCAGACAGCATAAAAGGGAAAATTGCAGCAATTTTCCCAATAATTCAAGTCCCACCTGCCCATTTCCCCCTCTTCCCTTCCCAAAGAATCACTTGAACAAAAGTGTCTAAATTATCTGGACTAAGAAGGCCCTAGCTTCATTCCTCTTTCTGAGTGCTCGTGTGTTTGTAAACAGCTTGTGGGCTTTCTAATGAGTTTATTCTTATTTTTTAATTTTTTGTATGTCATCTTTTGGATCATTTCTGGTTACTTTCCTTAAATTTCAAATACTGTACTCTATGCATTGTAAATCTTCACAAGATTGTTGATTTAGACCTGGGAGGGAGTTTACCAGTCTTCTAGTTCCAGTACTTTATGGATGACACTAAAGGTGAATCATTCACTCTTTGCAGTTCTTTAAAAGAAAAAAAAAACCAACTCATATTTTCCTAGTAAAATTGGCTCTTAACAACCAGCATGAGCTTAGTCATTCTCAGACTGTTTAAATTATGTTTATCTTCTCTACATAGTTTTACAAGTATTCATGTCCAAAATTTAGAGGTTGAGTTGGCCTGGCCCACCTTCGTGTTGTGCCTCCAGTATTTTCCCATTTTTCTTCTTTCTTTCCTTATGTCTCTGACACTTCATAAATGTGTTGTAGAAGTAGGTCTGTCTGTTGACTTTTTTTCACCAGAATCTCCCTATTATCCATCTTTGAATGTTCATGGCTTTGCAAGGATAATTATTTTGGCAAGATCTTTAATATAATCAAGAATATAACACCATTTCAGACTTTTGTTCTCAGTAATTTAAACCCAATTAGTAGGGTTTACCAAGAGTCAGAACTGTATTTTTTTTAATTAGCAGCCCAGGATTTAGGGAAATGATTCAATGAATCCATCCAGTGAGTTTCCTTTTGTCACTTTAAGTATTTTTATTTATTTATTTATTTTAATTTGATGTCATTTTCCTGGAGAAGAAAATTTTTTCAGGAGCAATTGTTTTCCTTCAATTTTTGTGTCTGAAAAAAGAACGATGTTCAAGGGTTCCTTAACAATACTATCCAAGGTCACAGACAGTGTATTGAGTTGGATTCCTTCCAAACTAGAGTGAACAGATGATGGCCAGCTAAGTTGTTTGGGATTTTTTTAATTTTTTTTTTTTTTTACTGTTTCACTCCCCTGGAATGCTTGTTGCATTCAGTGAAATGGAGTACTCCAAACAGGTGTTTTAAAAGATAGGACTGTTGCACAATGCTTTCATATGTGTGCATGTGCTCATCATTAATTATTCTGTTCACCATTAGCCTCACTTTTCCAAGCAGGTTATGACAGTCATCCTTAGCCATGTGTTAGTTTGCTTCAGTGAAATCGAATTGCGTTCTGAATCCCTTATTTATTTCTGGGGCTGGACTTTTGCCATCTTGAAATGTTTCCATCTTTCAAAAGATGCCGTTTTTCTCAAATGCTGTCCAAATCGAATTAAAATTGCCTTCTGGGTGAGTTCTACCAAGACCTGTAAGAGCTGTGTAAATCATCCCAAACTGTGCATGTTGGCTCCGACTCAGGCAGCTGATTTTTGGCACCAAGCATAATGCTTGTGGATAGGTTTGTTGTAGCTGTTACTCATTCCTTGCACATAGAAACATGTTTGTGAGATGTACCCAGCGAAAAGGAGGTGAGGTAAGAGGACATTTCTGGTACGCTGCTTTGGTGCCAATAAGAAAACGTGATGATTCCAGACATCCTCGCAGTCCTCCAACTAGGAGGCTTCCCAGGCAACTGGAAAGGAACCTAGGACAACAGTCAGCTCCGTTTCTATAAAAAAGTTAACAGCAATGAGGGGATATTTTCATGGTGCTCATTATGTAGTTGGGGCTCATCCTCCATTCCAAGAGGTGCTACTTCCAGTCGTGTGGCTCACTGGTGCCCCCTGGCGGTCTCCAAGACACTTTGCTACCTTTGTGTTCTGCTGTCAGCCGGCTAAGCTTAATTTTTTGGTAGAATCTTACCAAGGAGAAATGCACAGTTTTTAAAGCCCCTGACCCATATTTTTGCTTCTTTGTCTCAGGCCAAAGAACTGCCAACTTTAAAGGACAATGATTTTATCAATGATGGCCAAAAGATTTATATCGATGACAACAACAAAAAGATGTTTCTTGAGAAACTTAAAAAGGATGTGGAGGTAAGAGGAATCGGTCTTGTAGGTGACTTAATTTTATTTGCAGGAACATTGCTGGACTCTGAAAGATTTTTAATTCTCTGGGACAAAGTCTGAATAAACAATATGACTTACTTTTTACCAGAATTGTATGTTTTGCAACTTCATGGAAAGTGAAGTACACTGTTGGTTTTGTACTGTTGAAATTAGATAACCAACAACAATTAGGAATTAATACAAAGCATTAGGGGACATGGGTTCAAATCCTCCCTCTGACACTGGGTACCTGCACGACTTCAGCATCTGCTTTCCTCAGTTTCCTCATCTGTAAAATGAAAATGTTAAACGAGATGGCTTCTGAGCTCTGGATCTAAGATCCTGTGATCCTGTGAATTGTCTTATCTAAGTTAAGGAGATTTATCAAGGCATTATTCCCTGCCCTCATTTGCCTATATATTATTTATTATTTTAGGGGGATGGCCACCTAGTAAGTCAGGGTTTCTTAACCATTTTTGTAACATTGGCAAAGTTGGCAACTTGGGCGATCTGATGAAGTCTGTGGACGCTTTATTAGAATAATGTTTTTAAATGCGTAAAATAAAATGCACACAATTATAAAGGAAACCAATTTTATTGAACTACAGTCAGCAAAAAACATTTAAGTTTACAGAACCCAGGTTATGAATCCCTGTACTAAGGATAAGTTAGACTAGCCCTACTCACCAAAACCAGTGTGCAGTTGAGGAAGGGAAATTGATTGAGTTCAGTCAAACAATTGTTTCAAAACATTAGGTTAGCTACTTCTTTGAATCAATTCTGCCTTTGTTTTGTTTTGTTTGCTCAGCCAAGTATTGTAAATTTGGCATTTAAATGGCTTTAGTATATACTTCTGTTCCCTTAATTCCAATATACTCAGTTCCTCAAATAGTCCAGGAAAGCCTCAAGCACATTTTTCATGCAAGACCATGTGAGCTGTCCAAGAGAAATCTGCTGAGGAAAACAAAGGACATTTTGGAAACCAGGGAAAAGGGAGGCCAGGAAGGAAGCAGCATATCAAAATGGGGTCTTTTTTCTTTCTGTCTGCTTCTATTTGAATAAGTAGTAGACATGGCAGACTTTCAGACTGCCAAACTGAGAGAGGAAATGTTTAAATGTTAAGGCAGAAATCTCTTTCCAAAGATAGTGGGGTAGTTTTTTGGGGTTTTTTGCTTTGTTTTGTTTTGGTTTTGCTCTCTGCCCCTTTCCCTTCTTTAGCCCTACTCCCAAATCATCCCTACTACATCTGGCAATTAATACCTACTTGAAGAATCCTCCCTTCTTTTCAAGAAAACTAAAAAGTGTTTTGTTTACTTCTGTATCATTTTGTTGGTTGAGGAGGACAGGGGGGATATTGCAACTTCTCTTTTCTACTCCCTTTTGAAAAATATGTGGAAAATGTTTAAGAAATAAACTGGGGCATTGTTCAGAGCATGCATTTTCTTCTATTTTGATGTGTTCCAAGATAATTCAGAGAGAGTTCCAGTTAGGACAATCATTATGCCAAGTTGTCCTCAGCTGGGTTTACGTATTCTCTCATTAAACAACTTTTCGGAATAATCTTTGATTTTGAAATAATCTTTCTTAGACCAGAAAGCATAGCTTCTGCTTAGAGGTAGGTAAGCCTTTAGGCTCTGCTTTTGAAGATCTAATTGGTAGCTTACATTTCATTTATTTAGATAGATAGATAGATACATACATACATATATATGTACATATATATGCACACATACATGCACACATGTGTATATTATGTGTGTGTGTATGTGTATACATATACACACACCTCCTCCAGGCAAACAAACCAAGAAATAATAAAGCCAGATCCTTTTAAGCCCTAAAGAAAAAGTCAAGTGATTGACTTGGAGAGGCACAAGGCTCCGGTGTATTAGACTATAAACTCCACCAAGCCAGGAGCAGTGCCTCTTATTTGCTGTTGTTGTTCAGTCATGTTCAGTTCTTCATGACTGCGTTTGGGGTTTTCTTGACAAAGATACTGAGTGGTTTGCCCTTTCCTTCTCCAATTCATTTTACAGATAAGGAAACTGAGTCAAAGTTATTTACTTCCTCCAAATTAGCTTCCCATCATCCCGGTACCTCATGTATATCCATATAGAGATGGTCATTTCATAAGTATTGAATGGCTAGATAGAGGTTCATAAATACACTTAAAGCAAAATTATTTTTTGTGTTATTTTATTTTTATATTTTTATATATTTATTTGTTTTATACTTTATATATTTCATGTATTTATTAAATATTTATATTTATGAAAATGTATTTGTTATATTGAAATATTATATGTTTATTTTTTTTATTTATATATATCCTTGAAATAGTTTGAATAGTTACTTTGGACAAATTTTGTTTAATAATATTAGCTAACATGTATATAGCCCTTTAAGGTTTACAAAGTGCTTTATAAATATGATCTCATCGGATCCTCAGAAAATCCTGGAAAATACTATTATTGTAAGTGCTATTATCATCTCCATTTTACAGAGAAGGAAAAAGTGTCAAACAGAGGTTAAGTGACTACTAGTTCATGTTCACACAGCTAAATGACTGAGGTAGAATTAGAACTTGGGTCTTCCTGTCTCTCCACTGGGCCACCTTGCTGCTGAGGACTTTTAATTGTAAGTTATTAGCAAAGGGCAAAAGTATTTACTTAAAAAACTCAGTGCTGTATCTTTTCTCATCCTGTCATTAGTGGAAATCGGTCTTCTTCATGTTTCAATGGCTTATTGTCAATTGTGTCTAGCTGATTATATGTCATTTTCAAATATTTGTGTTCCACTATGGTAGTGACCAGCTTTCCCTGAGAGAGGCAGTAAGGCGTGGAAGACAGAGGGCTGAATGGGCTTAGAGACAGGAAGACTTGATTCAAATACCACTTCCAATATCTACTAGTTAGCTCTATGATCCTGGACATAACCTCTCTTGCCCTCAGTTTCCTCATCTGTAAAACACGGTTAATAAAACCATCTACCTTACAAGATTGTTGTAAGGATCCGATGAGATTATATAAATGCTTTGAAAACCTTAAAGCTCATTACAAGTAACCTACATTCATATTATTCTTTGGTTATAAAAAAAACATTCACATACATCATCTCATTATCTTCCTGTAAGCAGCAGAAAACAAAGAGCTGTGGGGATAAAATGATCTTTTTTTGGTTGGGTTTAATGGCAGACTTTTGGATCTCCCATATGAGTTTCTTGCCAAATGCAACAAAAATAGTAATAATAACTCACTTGTATTTATAAAGAACTTTTAAGGTTTACAAAGTACTCTATATCCGTCATCTCTTTTGATCCTCACAAGAACCCCTTAAGATAAATTAGTGTAGATATTATCCCCATTTTACAGATTAAGGAAACTGGAGCTCAGAGAAACAAGGACTTACCCAAGGACACTGGGCTAGCAAATATCAGAATAAGGATTTAAACCCAGTTTCTTCTGACAGGACCAGTGCTTTTCTTTAATGCTGTTCCTCCCCTCTGTTAGAATAAATTTGTAGTTTAGTTTCCTGGGTATCATTTGATACTTTCAGCAGTATCTAGTTCTGTATTTGGTTGGTAGTGTTGGGTATTTTTTAATACAAAATATGGCTTCTATATCGTTGTTAAAAATTAAGGCCAGGTTCATAAAGAGTTCTTCCATGAAAAACATCCTAAATGATGAAGCATCTACAGGGTTTTGAAATTCATAGGAAAGAAACATTAAATTTGTATGCAGACAATTAGAAAGAGTCTGGCATTCAATCCTGACAATGAGAGGTCAGAATTCAAGGTTCATGTAAGAAGAGGGGTTCTTATACGAGGTGCCATGAACTTTAAAATCTACATACATACATATAGACTGTATATGTATGTTCACTAAAATTTGGTTTCCTTTGTAATCCTCTGTGTTTTATTTTGTGCTGTTAAAAACATTATTCTGAGAAGGAGTCCATAGGCTTCACCAGACTGTTTCCAAAGGGATCCATGACTCAGAAAAGGTTAAAAACTCCTGTTATTGAAAAAGATATAACAGTAATGTAAAGAGTAATAATATTTGAAATTAGTTCAGTGATAACTTTTACTCCATTTTAAGAATAAATAAATACGTTCTACTAACATGTATTAGGTATTGTATTAAATGTCCACTATGTACAAGGCTCTGTGCTAAATGTATAAATAGACAGCCTTTAAAAAGCAAATGAAGAAAGCCTAGACATTAAATTTTAAAAAAAAACAGCCTGGAGTATAAAAGAGAAAATGCACAGTGAGAACTAGAGTGGGTGGTCCTGTGTAGGAGAGGCCCAGGTATTAGAGGGACTGGGAGCTGAAGGTCACAGTGGAATCTCTGTGTTTTTTTTTTCAGATAAATTTTCTAAAGGATGTTTATTTTAATTTTTAGCAAATCTCAATCAGGTTGATTGCCACTTTCATTCGAGACCCCAGATGTGCTTCCAGGAAGGCAGTACAAAGCAACATATTCCAAATCAGTAAATAAACTTTCAAATTAAGATCCGAAAGGTAGTCTTTCAGCTGCACTTGTACCTGGTACATCTCTGCTCATGACCTTGGCAACAGTCTCCTCAAATAGTCCCTGCTGGGGTTCAACTGTAACCTTTAGGACTGGACCTTCTAGGAGATTTGAGGTTAAAAGCAATTAGAGTAGGGGATCTTAACCCAGGATCCATAAACTTTTTTTCCATATTTTTAATAAGCATGTTTCAATAAAATGGGTTTCCTTTGTAATTTTGTGTATTTTATTTTATGCATTGAGAACACTATTCTGAAGAGTGCATAACCTTCACCAGATACCCAAAGGGGGTCCATGACACACCAGAAGGTTTAAATACCCTGAATCAGAGGGTTAATAGGGACTAGGCAGGGTAGTGAGAAGGAAAGGCTTAACAAATAATTGTTCAGAAGATGGAGAAGGGGAAAAGATGAGTAGGAAATCCTGAAAGAAAGCAACAACCCCAAGCTTCTTGTG